GTTGGACAGGTGTACCTAATAAAGTGGCCGGTGAGTGTATATAAACTGAAACAGCTGGACTAGTGCATCCTAAATTTAACATCCATTCATTCTTTTAATACAACAGTCATTTCTGCAGTTTTTGGGGAGGTCACCTCCTAATAAATGTCCTTACAGAAAATCTAACTGCTCATTTTAAATCTACACTTTGACTTTTAATACTTAACTACAACAAATATCACATACTTTAAGACTTTTACTCAAGTTATATTCCTAAAAGACACTTTAACTTTTATCAAAGTCATTTTTTGGTAAGATACTTGTACTTTTACTCAAGTATCACTTTGTGGTACTTTATAAAGCACTGCTGGTCAGGACCTTGGCTTCCTCCTGTGAAATGTTTTATTTGATGTAATCAAAACAATTAGAGGTCCATGTTGACTGTATTTTTGTTTCCTGAGAAAACCTGCTCGCCTTGCTCTCTGAACTGATCTTTGTAAGATGTTTACATACACAACAGATCCCTTTAATTTCCACCCTTGTTTTAAGAGCTCGTTTTTATATTTTTTACTGGTAAACCTGATTAGAAAGCCTGGTTTAACCCTTTTTTTGTGGAGGAAAATGACAAGTTTAATGCTATCGTTTTCAAGGGTAATACCCTTATTACTTAAAAATGTGATTACCCGTTTTTCAAGCGACCCTTGATCTTCATCCATAGTGTTTGCCTGTGTCACTGCCTGGACATATCGTGGCTTGGTTATCAACCCACTAATTACATCAACTATATTGTTGTAAATCAGCCAATGTCCCAGAGCTTTTTGTCTTCCTCAATTCTTTAACCTCCCCCATTGAAGTCCATGAGTTTGCTCTCAGACAAAATCCAAGGATTTCTTTCAATCTCAATCATGGGTCGGCTTTGCTTCATATTTCTGATATCTGATTACACTTAAGCTGATGCTTGAGTTTTGTAGCAGCTCGTCAATTTTAGCAGATTAAGCCTTTTAGATGAACAGTTTGTGTGAATGAGTGCAAAATGTTTTCGTGTGCAAGATGTGTGCAACATGTTTAAACTTCAGCTCAGAAACGTTATGGGTTTAGAGTACGGAGCGTTTGCTTTATTGTTTTAGCTCCTGTCAATTCTGAATTTGATTCCTAGAAAAGAGTGCTTTTGCCCAGGCAGGTCAGGGCCAAGCCGAATTGTTAAACATCCTAAAAATGTACGACTAAGACTGCAGATTTCAAAGAGTCTCTGCAGTCAGCTGGGGAGCAGTGAAACTGATGCTTTCAGCTCGACCGTCAACTCACTCCAAACATTAACGCTGAAACTCCAAAATAAAACTGCAGAATCTTTTAAAGTGGTTGATGTGACATGAGTGGACTATGTGGTGCCGTTTGTAAAGTTAGTCAAAAATTTGTTTTAGCCTTTAACACATTTTATAAAGTCAGTTTTTCACCATATGTCAAATATTTAACAAATTAAACTTTTAGTTTTGAGCTAAATATTTAGCATGAAACTTAAAAAT